ATCTGGCTCTTTACAGAGAAACTTTATAGACCCCTGTCCTAGACAGCCAGAAATTAATGTTCTATAGAATTTTTTTTTAATAAAATGGAGACAACTGGAGAATAGTTATAATAATAATAATTTTTGTAAGAATAAATATCATTAAGTATAATTATCATACATTGTCCATTAGTGTGTGTCAGGCATTGTGCTAAGATAAGTTCCAGAGGCTGGGAACTTATACTGGAACTTATCAATAGATATCAGGGTATCACATCATGAGAGAAATGGCCTGAGAGAAATGGCCTGAGCAAGACAGCTAACCTTCTCACTCACTCTCTTTATAAAGCCATCAGAACCACACGCATGATTACTCACTACTTCATGAATGGATCAATCCATTCATGAGGGCATAGTCCTCATGATCCAATCACCTCTCAAAGACCCCGCTTTTCAAATACCGTAATTGGATTTCCCACCGATTTAACATTGTTACAGTGGAGATCAAGTTTTTAATATGTGAACTTTTGGGAGACACATTTGACCCACAGCACACAGTCTGCTGGAGCTTGTTGCCTAGGAACCGAAAGATGCCATATCCCTAGCCCCCATCCCAAATTCCTACATTTGGTCTAAGCTTTCAGCTTCAAGAAGGTTTTTAGTTTTTTTGTGGGACACCATCTCCTCTATTGCCCTCATCCAGGACTGTCTTTAATGTTCACTGAAACACACCTCCCATGGATTCTAGTTTTGAAGGCTTAGGTGGTGTTGGGGAAATAGAATAGTTTAGTCAGGGCCCTCACCTTGGGTCCAGTTGGGTGTGGTTCAGCATCCTTTGTAAGCAAATTTTGTGTGTGTGTGTATGTGTATGTATGTGTGTGTGTGTGTGTGTGTGTGTGTGGAGTTAGTGCACATGTGTGCCAATGTATCTTTTTAGTTTTGTTGCTATTCTTGTGTTCTTCAGAGAGAGAGAGAGAGAGAGAAAGAAAGAAAGAGAGGAGAGAGTAGTTTTAGTGAAGCAGGTGGGCGGGTGTCTGCCTCGGGCAACTGCCCAGAGCAGCCATGCTTTCCAATGGCTCCAAGGACCTTTTGGCCAGTTACCTAGCTCATAGACCTGCATGTAAGGGGTCATCTGGTGACCCAGCCTGGCATATGAAGGGTTTGTGACCCAGTCTGTGAATGGGCTTGAGGGGTCTGGGAGCTCCAGACCCAGCCCAGGCTCAACAATCGGCCCAGTCGGCAGGATTACCAGCAGGTAAAAGAGCACCACAACTGACGTGGTTGCCTAGCTTTACAACTGGAGTCATGAACAGGATTAAGAGTGCTACAGGTGGGTTGTGGGTGGCAAGAAGTGGGTGAGAGGGGAGAGCCGTGCCCTGTAATTTCTAAGACCCACCCCCTTCAGGCTCTCGTCTCTGCCTCACTGCACCTCCATATGGTTCTCCTCTCTTCTGTGTGTTCAAAACATTTTCAATAAGCTATCTCTCTGATTCTGATTAAATCCCAGATATTGAATTTGAAGCCACGTGCTCAACTTTCCTATCAAAGGAACTCCTGTGGCCTGTGTCCAGAGATGAGTTTACTAGTCCTGCAGAAAATGTTGCTATTTACATATTGATCCATAGCTAGGTGCTTTGGATGGGTGTGTCCTTATCTTTCTGTCACAAACACAGTTCTTGCTGTCTTGAGGATACAAACCCATATTCAGTTTGTTTAGGGCCAGCCTAGAGAGTTAAAATGTAAAGACATCTCCCTGGTATGATTTTAGGGTCACCATCTCCCAGCTTCCCAGCCACAGAATTACTGGTGCCAATTCTACCTTGGGAGATTCATTCTTTGTCTCAGGTTTGCTTTCCTTTTGACTTGCAGAGACTCCTGTGGAAGGTAAGTCTTTTTCGTCATCAGGTCTCTAGTGAGATCCTTTTCTGGAAACAGGTCAGTTTTGGGGAGATAAAGGAAGATTAAGGAGGTGCTTAATCATCAAGGTGTTGGATAAGGAAAAGAGATAAAATACAAGGGGTGAAAACAGCACCATCAGGGGAGGCACAATAAAAATCGTGAATTTGGATCTTCTTTTATAGTTTGGGTGATGAGTGGATGCCAGTGTGGTTGGTGCATTTGGGTACTTTTGTCTCCTTTCAGCATTTCGGTGCATTGAGGTCATGTGGGCCTGCCTTGCCTTGGACCAGCTGGTGGTGGAGTGGCAGAGCTCTGTTCCAGAGGTGGACATGTGGATGGTGGAGTGGTTCCCAGAAGTGGACTCAGAGCCCTCTACCCTTTCCTGGGAACCTGTGTCTGGGGCCAGGAACTGGACAATTCAGCAAGGTAGACAGTGCAGAACCCACAAGTCCCTTCTGTGGAAGATTCAGTTTCATTTTCATGACTTTTGAAATCTTTAACTTTGGCTGCAAAGCTGTAAATGTGGTTAGTAACATTTGACAGGCTCATGCAATTTTAGTGAAATGACACTATGCTTCTTGGCATTTTCCAGCAAGGCTGGAGAGCTGTGGGTATCAGACCAAGTTTCTGGCCTGTCTCCAGGTGGAAAACACCTCTTAACATTTACCATCAGAGAACCCTTCCAAGATAGCTTGATCATCTTGTGGATAACACCAGAGTGTGGATCCCTTCTGTCCTACCTAGGATACTCCCTTCAGTTCTGGCTGCCTGTTTAAGAGCAAGGCCCCTTCTCCAGGTGATTGATACAGGGAACCATCTTCTCTTTAAGAAAGTCCCTGCCCAGTGTAAGACACATGAGTAAGGTTTTTCCTTTCAACCTCATCATACCAACTATTTCTTAATGCTTAATAGCATTTGTGTTAGGAATTATCCTCATGCAGGGATGCAGGCAGGTAGAGGAGCTGGAAATTCTCCAGGGTAAAATGCTGTTGACAGGAGGATTAAGTTTTATTCCACAGTGCCCCCAAGTCACATGATAAAATCAGTGATAGAGAAGGGACTGGAATCTTACTTCTCTCTTCCTGAATGGCTCTGTAATTTTGTTAGAGTGGTATAGGGTTTAGTTCTAAGAATTAATTAGTAAGTCTTAGAACAGGAATAGATGTTAGAGACCATCCAACCTAACCTCCTTATTTTCCAGATGTAGAAACTGTAGGGAAATGAATATCTTCCACAAGTCTTAGGTCATTACTCTTAATTCAGCATTCCTTCCACTCTGCCATGCTCTGCACTTATGCTTATTTTTTTCTTTCTTTCTCACAGATAAATTAAAACCTTTCCAGTGCTATAACATCTCCGTGTATCCAGTGTTGCAAGAGCAAGTGGGCGAGCCATATTCCATCCAGGCTTATGCTAAAGAAGGCAGTATGTATGGAAAAGACCCTGTGGGGAAAAGGAAACACTGGGGCCGGTCTGACATTCAGATGAGGCTGTGAATGCCTGTAGCTCATTCTTGGTTGTCTTGGGGTCTAGTTGCGCTGCCCCTTCATCTTGTAGCAAGCTATGAATGTTCAGCATGATTGGGGTCAGGCTATAGATTCACTGAATTTCAAAGCTGAGATAGGCAGAGGTCATCAAGTCTATTCTCCTGATTTCAAAAATGGAAAATTGAGGCTCAGAGAGGCCATATAACTTACTCAAAGTCACAAAGAAACAGTGCAAATAGAACTGCAACCATAATTAACATTTAATTAAGACCAACTTAGGGAGCCTTCAGAGTTAATCATAAGTGGGGATGTTAAAAAGATTATTTTTAATTGTGTAGCAATAAGCAAGGGCTTTATTGATGAATTGCTCAGACTAATTTTGTCTTTTTGGAAGTTAACAGCTTCCAGATTCAACACTGGAACATATCTCCTGCCACTCAAAGGTAGCCCATGGAGGCATATTCTTCAGCTATTTGATAATGGCTATACTTTATAAGTGAAAGGGCTGTGTGCCAAATTGGAGCGAGTGGTCTATAGGAAAGTGCTTTTTCTGTGGTTTTTGACCCTGCTTCTCTTCTTGTTTGGATGACTCCAGAAAACCAATTTTTCAAGCAAGTTGATTTATCATTTCCATACTTTTTCAGAAAATAGAATAGTTTGGTCAGGGCCCTCACCTTGGGTCCAGTTGGATGTGGTTCAGCAGCACATCCTTTGTAAGCAAATTGTGTGTGTGTGTGTGTGGAGTTAGTGCGCATGTGCACCAATGTGTCTTTTTAGTTTTGTTGCTATTCTTGTGTTCTTCAGAGAGAGAAAGAGAGAGAGAGAGAGAGAGTTTTGTGAAGCAGACTGGTGTCGGCCTCAGGCATCCGCCCCGTGCAGCCATGCTTTCCAACCTATGGCTCCAGGGACCTTTGGCCAGTTACCTAGTTCATAGATCTGTGTGAAGGGGTCTGGTGACCCAGCCTGGCATGTGAAGTGTTTGTGACCCAGTCTGTGAATGGGCTTGAGGGGTCTTCGAGCTCTAGACCCAGCCCTAGCTTGGCAATTGGCCCAGTTGGTACAGGCTTACTGGCAGGTAAAAGAGCCCGACAACTAGTGTGGTCATGTAGCTAGACAATTGGTGTCATGAACAGGATTAAGAGCTTTACAATTGGCACTCTAATTGGATGTTCTGGGGTATAATTCAGTGTTTATCATTTATCTTCTTGTCTTTCCAAGTTCCATCAGAAGGTCCCATAACCAAGGTAGAGAACATTGGTGTGAAGACAGTAACAGTCACCTGGAAGGAGATTCCCAAGAGTAAGAGAAATGGTTTTATCAGCAACTACACCATATTTTACCAAGCTGAAGGTGGAAGAGAATTCTGTAAGTGTGCCCATAGCCAAGTTGAAACAAACCCAAAACCACAGATAGATGCTATGGATAGACATGTCATAGAGGAGGCTCCCGTGGTTGTGACCTGCAACCTTGCATGAGTCACTTAGCTTCTTTGATCCTTTCCAAAAATGGGGCCAAGAGCACCCACTACTTGAGTCTTTTGGGGTTAAATGAGGGTGAAGTGACAGTACCTGATAGTCCTGTAAGAATGGGAAGAATTGACATAATTTGTCCTGGTCAGGCCCTGAATGAGTTGACATCCAGGAAGGGGAATGCCTGGCTTAGAGTGGAGGAGGAACAGACCCTGTTTGGCAACACTTACCTTAGTGCAGAACCCTTTATCATGACTTTTACTGCCCACTGCCAAGTCATGCTTTTTTTTTTTTTTTGAGTCTATAATATCTCATGACATTCTAAATTCTGAGCTAGGCTTGGATTCCTGTTTAGACTAAAAATTTTTTGTTATGGTAAAATACACATAAAATTTGCCACTTTAGACATTTGAAAGCATGCAATCTAGTGGCATTAAGAACATTCACAATGTTGTATAACCATCGCTGCTATCTATCCAGGACGTTTCCATTTCTATCCCAGACAGAAGCCCTGTACTCATTAATTACCCACTTCTCATCTCCCTCTTCCCACAGTGCCTGCCAACCACCAAACTGCTTTGTGTCTCTATGGATTTCCTATTCTGGGTATTTCATATAAATAGAATCATACAGTGTGTGGCCTTTGTGTCTGTCTTCTTTCACTTAGCTTGATGTTTTGAAAGTTCTTCCATGTTGTAGCATGAATTAGTACTTCATTACTTTTTATGACTAAATAATATTTTATTGTATGGATATTTCATATTTTGTTTATTCATTCATCAGTTGATGAACATTTGGGTTGTTTTAACCTTTTGGCTACTGTGAATAGTGCTGCTATGAACAGTGGTGTACAGATATCTTGAGTCCATGCTTTTAATTCTTTTGGATAAATACCTTGGAGTAGAATTGCTGGATCATATGGTAATTCTAGTTTAACTTATTAAGGAACCACCAAATTGTTTTCCACAGTGACTACGCCATTTTACATTCCCACCAGCAATGTACGAGGGTTCCAGTGTCTCTGCATCTTTGTCAATACTTGTTATTATTCATTTTTTAAAAATTATTATGGCTGCCCTAGTGGGTGTGAGGTGGTACATTTCCCTAATGATTAATGATGTTGAACATCTTTTCATGTAGTTGTTGGCCATTTGTATATCTTCTTTGGAGAAATATCTTTTTAATCTCTTTGCACATTTTTAAATTGGGTTGTCTTATTGTCGTTGAACTATAAGTTCTGTATATTTTCTGGATGTAAGTTCCTTACCAAATACATGATTTGCAAATATTTTCTCTCCTTGTGTGCATTGTCTTTTCACTTTCATGATATTGTCTTTTGATGTACAAGAGCTTTTAATTTTAATGAAGTCCAGTTTAATCTATTTCTTTTTTTATGGTTTGTGCTTTTGGTATTATATGTGAGAAGCCATTGCAAAATTCAAGGTTGTGAAGAATTACCTTATGTTGTCTCCTAAGAGTTTTTATAGTTTCCACTTTGATCCATCTTGATAGCTAACTTTAAGCAGAACATGGATAGGAGTTGGAGAATGAGATGGCCAAACTTGGAAGTACAGGTTCCAGTGCTCTTACTTTGATGCTACTAAAACACAATTTTCAGTCTGGCTTGACTGTGGTGTTTGACTTTTATATTTTTCCTTTAGCCAAGACAGTAAACTCCAGCATTCTGCAGTATGGCCTGGAGTCCCTGACACGGAAGACCTCTTACACAGTTTGGGTCATGGCCAGCACTAGTGCTGGGGTTGCCAACGGAACCAGCATAAACTTCAAGACACAGTCACTCAGTGAGTATTTCTTTTAAGCCCTGGGTACCTCTCCTTGGCATTTCCCTTAGGTCATTCACAAATGACACTTGCCAAAGGCAGGGGGAAGCCGGGTAAAAGGGCAATAAAGTGAGAAGAGCTCTCTGGCTCATTGACCTTCCTGAAGGCAGATGGGTGAGGAAAGAAGGTGGGTAGGCAAGTTAAGAGCTGCATTTGGAAAGGCTGGTCATTTTGCTCTTTCCTCATGGGCAGCCCCAAACCATTCTGAGGAGGAGGGATCAAGTTAATGCCAACTTCAGTCTAAACACCAAACCAGCTCCCACCTCAAGGCTGTCCCCAAGTTCACAGTCACCAGTTTCTGTGTGCCAGAGGTTATTGCACATTAAGGCTTTGGAGGGAAAACCTTGGTTGAGAAAGAAATGCTGATCCACAGGAGGGGACTTAACTGCATCAATTGTGGAGTTTTTTTGAGCAAAAAGATATATAATATGTCCGACTTAATAGCTTTTATGTTAAAAAATATGAAGCGAGAAAAATTTAATAGAAACAACAAATAATATAAAATATAACATAGCTTCATATGAGGACTGGTTAAGGGAGAGATTCAAGAAGCGAAGAGTATGAAATGAGGAGAGAAATGAAGAAAGAAGGAAGGAGAATGGGAGAAAAAGAGAAATATATTAATTTTGCCATGTCTTTGAGCAGCAGAGATTTGAATTTTAAGGACATACTAAAATATTAAAACTGTTTTAAGCAATGAACAATAACTGGTGCAAGCTAAAAATTGTCTGTTTTAAGTACTCTTGAAAGCCTCTTGTTTGGTACATTTTTAATCTTTTTTTCTTATTTTTGGTTTTGGCTGCTGGCTGATATAGGGATCCGAACCTTTGACTTTGGTGTTATGAGCACCACTCTCTAACCAAGTGAACTAACCAACCAGCACATTTAAAAAAAATGAAATAGCTTTATAGATCTGGAAAATGTGAGCGTAACAAGTGTTTTTACATAGCAAACATGTTCTGTTTTTATAGACTAACATTGCCTTCTTGGAACTTTTCTTGATATTTCTATTTAAAATCTTTAAAAATCATGTTGTATTTTCATAACACTAGGCACAAATTGTATCAGCTCATGGAATTTTCTCCAAGGATCAAATTGAAGGCAAGATCCTGCCTTAAAGCTTAGAAGTTTCCTACCCCAGTCTATGGATTAACGATCCCCCTGCTTTCATCTTTAATCCTCTGCAGCCCATTCTCCACACAGCAGCCACAGTTTCAAACCCTAGGTCTCCTGCTTAAAACCCACCAGTGACTTCCACTGTATTTTAAATAAAGTCCAGACACCTTCTTGAAGCTTTCAGGGTCCCTCATCATCTGTCCCTTACTGACCTCATTTCCTACTGCTTTCTGCCTCTAGTTAATGTTTGTTAACTTGTTCCTGCTTCAAAGCTTTTGCATCTGCTATTCCTTCTCCCTGGAATACTTTTTTTCTCCATATTTTTGCATGGCTGTCTCCTCCTTATTGTTAAGATCAGCTTGAATTTCACTTCTTTCTTGGCTACCCTATCTAAAGGTGCTAACCTCCCTCTCACCTTACTCTAGTTACTCTATATCTTATTACCCTGTTTTATCTGAAATAGTATTTATTATCTGGATCCTTCTACCAGAATGTAAGCTCCAGAACAGTAGGGATCTTGTATTTCTTGCTTCTTGCTGGTTGTTTTATTACCCAGAATAGTGCTTGGCAAATAGTAAGTGCTCAATAAATATTCACTAAATGAATGAAGTTGGAAGGTGGCCTAGGGAACACAACATCTTTCAGTATTATGCAGGGAGAATACAACTACACGGGGAGCTACAAATCCCAGGGTTTTTTAATTGAAAAAAAATTGGATTTAATGGAAGAAAATTAATAAAGAATATGTTTGCTGAAGCTACTAGAAGAAAAAGTTAAACTTTGATTTTCATCAAGAAAGTGAGGGACTCAGCTTACTCCTGACTTTTGTTCTCCTTTTTTCCAAGGTGTCTCTGAGATTTTCCTTATAAGTTCTCTGGTTGGAGGAGGCCTTCTTATTCTCATCATCCTGACCGTGGCATGTGGTCTCAAAAAACCCAGGTGAGTTTATAGGCAACAGTGGGTGCCTTAAAAATCAGGGGCAGAAAGGGATGGAAGGCACCGTGGGCACTTTGTAGGAGAGGGCACTCTACCATTAGGCGGTGTTCATTCATTCAGTAATTTGGACATATTTATTGTGATTATTAAAGGCCACACCCTGGGGCCCATCAGAATTCTGTCCAAGCAAGAGCACTTTCGCCTCCCACAGCTCCATGCACTGGGCTTTATCTGCTGCATTTGCCATCTGAAACTAAAGTAGGATAGGAGGCCCTTTCTCTCAGTGTCTAGAGGGGGCCCCAGACAGTAGCAAGAGGCCATTCGCAAGCTTCTATTTCAGACAGAACAGGGAGCAGCATGCCTGTGGAGTTAGAGTGCTGGCCGGTCATATGCCAGCACAGCCTTGTTCCTTGCTTGGGGTGCAGTGTTGGAGGGCTGGCTGCAGGGGCATTTGTCCTTCCTGCCCTGGCCACTGTGGAGAAAGAAGCTTGTCTTCAGGGTCTTGTGCTTTCTCCTCGCAGTGAGCCTCATGCGACTCTAACGGTCCTTCGCAGTAGAGATCTGTCTCCAAATTGGACAGTTGTGGGCCTTCTCTGCCAAGCAGCTGCACCTCGTTAATAGTCAAGCTAATCTCAGTTACCAACTGTAGGTTGTAAGCAAGTCACCAGCACAAATTCTTGTACATCATGCTCTTAAGCAACCATTCTTCATCTTTAGCATGCATCAGAATTGGGCTGCACCCCAAGGGATTCTGATTCAGTGATTCTGGAGTGAACCCCCGAAATTTGCATTTCTAACAAGCTCCCGGGTGATGCTGCTGCTTCAGGTGGGGACCACACTTTGAGAGCCATTGCACTAAAGTGTGGGTAGCTTATAAGGCTTAAAGTGTTACCTTTCCTAGGGAAGAAGTCTCAGACAAATGACTCTGTGATGGTGCAGTTTCCAGCATCATGGCCAGGTGTGGAGATACAGGGGTGGAAGAGAAGGGGAGGTAGGAACAGCTTGGCACGGGAGAGGTCTCCTCCAATGACATCCCATAGATAACTTGTAATTTCATTTCCCAAATGACTTCATTTGCCTAGTCTCTGTCAGGGAGCTTGCCCTTATTTAATAGGGAGCCATACAATTCTCTTTAGCAAAGCCTCGCTCTTTTGGCTCAGCCATGCAGTGGAGTGTAAAATGCTTCTTGGGGGCCGGCCCGTGGCTCACTCGGTAGAGTGCGGTGATGATAACACCAAGGCCATGGGTTCGGATCCTATATAGGGATGGCCGGTTTGCTCACTGGCTGAGCGTGGTGCTGACAGCACCAAGCCAAGGGTTGAGATCCCCTTACCGGTCATCTTTAAAAAAAAAAAAAAAAAATGCTTCTTGGACTCATTTCCTGTTTTAAAATCTTATCTCTTATTAGCAAATTGACTCACCTGTGCTGCCCTGATGTCCCCAACCCTGCTGAGAGTAGTATAGCCACGTGGCGTAAAGATGATTTCAAGGTAAACACTCCTGTTTTTATTAAGGAAATCATTGTGCAGGCTGGTTGTGGGGGGTGGACAAGGTGGATGGAGATGGGGAGAAATCTTGGGCTGATCTTTTTTCAGGGTTCACATAAAGAGAACTCAAGGTCGAAAAGTCCCAGGAAGCAGCTGGCAGGGCATATGGAATCAGCCTTCCTGGAATGATTTTGACCTCGTGCTTTTAGACAAGAGGAAAGGGCTTCACCAGGCTCATGAGGACCCAGTGTGTTTCCAGCGTAGAAGTGGTCACATAAAAGATGATGCAGAAGAAAGACACCAGCTGTACCCTTACTGACCTGACTGTCTGATTAGAGAGAGAGAAGGCATGGCTGTAAGATGTGAGGCCATTTAAAACCAACCAGGAGGAAATTAATACAGAGACCACCTAGAGATCCTGAGGGGATGTTGGCATAGCTATCCAAAGGCTGCCTTGAATTGTTTTTCTCAGGTTGGGGAAGTTAGAATCAAACTTTATTTGACTGGCATTGGGTTTTTTTAGTAAATGCTTAAATAGGAATACTCATTTTTCCTAAGTTTTAAAATGGAAAACTGTTATAATGTTTTTAAGGTTTAATTTATTGTTGAAGTAGAAATAAGCCCAATCAAATATAACCTTTAAATCCTAATTTTTGAAACACTGTTTCCAGTTCTTCCTTGATACAGGAATTTTAAGTATTAGTCCGCATTCCAAGTCAGCTGTTTTTCTTTAATATGGACATTTCTGTATGATTGTCTTTATTTCTATTTCCTCATCTCTGTTCTCCCTCTTGTATCACCCTATTTGCTTTCCAGCTTATTAAAAGTTGTTTAGGGAGTAACGAATTCATAGCCAGTGTTGTCTGAGGACTAAAATGCTTTTTGTTTTTGTTTTTTTCCTTTTTTTTTTTTCATGTCCGGCAATGGATCGCAACCCTCAGTGTCGCGCCCGTACCGGAC